CCCCCAGCAGCGAGTGGTGACAACATGCATGAAATATTGCTTACCAGGGGACTCGTTAGAGACTCTGTGCCCCCGTTTTCATCGGGAGCTAATCACGTGCGCAGGCTCTGCTGGGCATGTGTCAACATTTCAGATTTCCAGGAGGAAAGTGAGTGTTCAACATAAGCCATATTGTTTGTACAGACAGTTTGGGCACAGGAAGCCACTCTTACCAGTTCTGGGGAGGCTAGGAACTCCCCTAAAACTGAAGTTCCCATACGCCAGCCAAGAGCCAGCCTCTCAGAGGAGAGCGGTCAGACCTGGTGTGTTCGCTCTGTTCTGCACGGGGTGCTCCTGGCATCTAGAGGGTGGAGGCCAGGGGTGCCACGAAACCTCTGCAGTGCCCAGGGCACAACAGAGAATTGTGGGCTCCCCATGGCCTCAGTGCTGCGGGGGAGGGAAGGGGGAGGGTCAGGGCTGTCTCTTCAGCTTGGCTGCCTCTGGGCCTTTCTTTCTTAAGAGTGCTTGAACTCTACCCCCTTTCTTATCTAATCTCTCTAGTATAATCTAGCTCTCTTGTGTTGCTTCAGGACTCTTCCTTCCCTTCAGGTTTGACCTAGGGAAAATACCTACTGAAAAGAAAAGATTCAGTAAAACAGAGAAGAACAAACCGCCTCTGAACAGTAAAAATTATTTTCAGGCAGTTTCTTTTAAAGATTTAAACTGCCATAGTGGTGGTATTTTCTTAGTAACTTAATCTCCCTAGTTTTTATGTATAATTAGCCTGAAATGAAGATCTCTAGCTAGATCACTTAAGGTCTCAGGCTCTGAGGTTCTGCGTCCAATAACTAGCCAGAGGAAGAGTCAGCCTACCAGGACGGGGAAGACAGCTAAAGGCTGCCTGGGGCGCCATGCTCCCTCTGCTGGCCAGTTGGTGGATTTCTACAACTCAGCTGGACCCACACTCCACTTCCCTCCAGCCTGCAGTTTGGCCCTGAAGTTTTGGTGTTTCTCTTATAAGCAACACTCCCTTCTCTCTAACAGAAACAAAAAAACAAGAAGAAGAAGAAGAAGAAAAAAAAGGGCAAAAACAGACTCCAGACTCCTGACCCTTTCCAGGGACTTGGGAGGAGGCCGGGTGGGTGACCTGATGGCCGTGCTTTGGATTTGTTGCGCTTTGTGAGAGTTGCTTTGTGAGGGAATTCCCACATCTCTTGAGGGCTACAGAGAGTAGTGAGAGCTTGGTTTTTATTTTTATCTTAAATCTCTCTCAATATTTTTTCAATGGGAAGCTGAGGGTTGTTGCTATTGATAGCTTGTTCTCACAGCTGTGCTGGTCTCAGCTGGAATTCTTGTCATTGTCTCTACGAGGAACTAAATTGGGAGTTTACCACTGTTCCTATTGAGGGAGACTTCAAGTTCTCAGCATGATTTTACTTAAACTTCGGTTTCAGCACTGCTGGGAGGAAACATGAAAGTCCTAGCTAGTAATTTTAGTCCTTAAAAGAAAAACAAATCCACCTTACAATTTTGTTTGCTTAAAGCTAAAATGGGCACACTCCATCAGCCATCTGTCAGGTCAGGGAGAACCAGCATGCAAGCAGGGGGAATGTTCCTAGACTCTTGTGCACATCTGCACATTTATGCTGAAAATGGAGTAATGGTAGAGTAGGGATCCAGGGATCCAGGGATCCTGGCGACCGAATATCTGAAATAGAACTTTGTTTCTCAACAGTGAAACTCGACCTGAGTCCTTTACTCAGGAGTTTCTTCGAGCATTGCACATGAACATCTGTATTTATTTCTGTATCTATGTAGATGGATAGTCTCTATATTATCTGTGTGCATTGAGAACCATGCATTCATATCACCATCTGCAAATCCATCCAGCACCACAGGAGCATTCTGGTTTTCTCCCTTTGCATATTTGTAGCTCTGTTCTCTGACAGTGAGAAATCTGGCTCCCATTTATCCTCAGTAGTTTTGCTTACTTGCTCAACCCTCTTGCACTGTGTTGCCCCTGCCTGCATTCAATCCCACTCAGACTCTGACTCCCCCACATTGTGCTCCTGCTGCTCACCACACTGGGGCATTGGTACCATTGCTCTCACCCTCCCCACGACACGGCATCTTTCTCAGCCTGTCCGGGCTCTGACACTCTGCCCTGGGATTCCCACATGACCTCCCAACTGCACTTGTTCTCCAGCATCCCACTGGGTTGCCATGCTACTTTTACCCCTGCCCCCAGTGCCAAAACCTTGTGTACCCTTTCAGGGCTCTCACACCCTGCATTGGGCCAACTCCCAGATCTTTCCCAAGTAGAATCCTTCATCCTAGAAAGGCATCCACACTCTGGGTGGGCCATTTCTGTCCCCACCCACGCCATGCAGTACCACTCTTTTCTCTCTGGAACTCCAACACTCTGCGCCCTTCTGCGTGGACACCCTCCTGGGTACTGGCATGTCTGTTCTTATTCTAGACAGTGTAGAGCATCGCCAGTTTTATGGTTGCAGCTCTACTTAAACAGAAGGTTTCCAGAAACATCCAGCGAATACCAGTGCCCCATGAGATCCATCATAGAACCAATGTCTTAGGAATTGGAAAGACCTTTAAAGGTCATTCAGCCCTAACTTGACGCATGGCTGATTTCATTATAACTTGTTAATGAGAAGTTTTCTGATTTGAGATAAAAAATAAAAACCAAACCCAGTCTATTTCATTTCCAAATAGCTTTCATCGTTAAGGTGGTTTTAAACCCTGCTTGTCTTGTGAGTTTGCCTATAAGTCTTTCTCTTGTTTAAAGAGACAAGTTTGACTACAGAAATTTTTTTTTAATATTTTATTTATTTGATATAGAGAGACACAACGAGAGAGGGAACACAAGCAGGGGGAGTGGGAGAGGGAGAAGCAGTCTTCCCGCCGAGCAGGGAGCCCAATGTGGGACTCGATCCCAGGACCCTGGGATCATGACCTGAGCCGAAGGCAGACGCTTAACGACTGAGCCACCCGGCGCCCTGATTACAGAAATACTTTGAAGGGAGATGGTATTCGCTTCGAGATGATCTGCAAGTGCTCTTATGTGTGATCTTTCCATCACCAAGTCATCCCTCTGTAAATTAATGCTTTTACATAAGAAAAATTATTGAGGCTCAGGGCTGGGAATAGAATCCAAGAGTCTATTTCAGTGTCTAGAAGGACTGCTTTTAGCTATAAATATTCAGCATATTGTTCAGTAAATTGTAACTTAGGGGAAAGTTGCCCAGCATGAGAGGAACCCATCTGTACAGCTGATCCAAACTGACTCCCCGATGGGTTGCTACTCCATGTCTTTCTTATCTCCACTTACCTTTACCCCGTGGTCTGGGTCTGAATGACCCATCAAGGGCAGCTCTATCAAACAGACCTTTCCGCGGTGGGAGACCATCTGTATTTCTGCTGTTAGGTACCCCCTACCTTTCATATGGCCATTGAGAATTTGAAATGTGGGGGCTGGTGTGAGAGGAACTGAATTTTAAGTTTAATTTAAATGGCCTCATGTGGCTACTTGCTGTTAGACAGTGAGGTTTTGGGGAGTGTGCACATCCCTTTCTTTCTTAACCGTGGCAGGGAAGTACCTTTTGCTTGTAGTTCAGCCGCTTAAAGGAATTACCAGAAGAAAGGGTCCTGAGGATTTGCAGGCCATCTGGCTGTGGGGTGTGTTGCTGTGTTTTCTGGAGTTTCTGGAGCTGAGCTGGCTGGAAAGGGGAGCATTCCCCTTCTCCACTCATTGTTCAGTGTGTTCGGGACTTGAAGCTTAGTGCTGGATAAACCGTGATGACCTTTTCAGTCAGAGAATGGTTGTTCTTTGGCTATGGATGTATGGGTAAGGTGATGTTCACCAGCTAGAACCCCCAAATAAGTCTAAGAAACTAAAAAAAAAAAAAAAAAAAAAATTTACCGTTCCTTTCTCCCAAGGCAAGAAAAAGGAAGAGAGAGAGCTGGAGGTCACACAATATAGGTTTCGGTCCTTTCTTATGTGCGGACTCGTATCAGCTTGTCTGATGGCATTAACTTTCCCTGGTGCAGACCAGTGCGGGGTAGATCCCTGTGAGTACTGCTTCGAGGTCTGATGGGTATTTCACTTCTTGCTGGAAGCTGCTTTGTATTACTCATCTCTTTGACGGTGATTGCTAGTGGTCCCTCAGCCTGTGTAGAGTTTATGAGCTGTAACCTCTCCGCCCTGTGGGGATCTTGCCTTCCAGGGCAGAGTTACTTACCATCTGGTCCCCCCCAGAACTCCCCCTCGACTTCTGGCTTACTAACTTTGTGTTCGTGTGTTTGTCTTGTGGAGATCTAAATGGCACTAGACCCATGGAAATGCTTTCTTCACTCCATTTTCTCTTAGACATCCTTGCTATCCAGATGTTAAGACTGGGTTCCCTCCTTTGGTGAAGACAGTTTTTTCCACGTGTTGTTCTCAACACCAATTCAGTCTTCCTGTGTGCGGGTGGCCTTGAGGATGGGGGCTGTCTTCCCTGAAGCGTCTCCGTAGCCTGAGGAGGCCATTCAGCAGCCAGAAGCAGTCCTTCACCTCTTCTGGTTTTACCACCGGTACTGCCCAGCAGCCAGCTCTCAGTTCCTTTTAAGATTAGAGACCTCAGATATAACTAATGGTAATGACACGTTGATGTTTCTTCCAAGTAGTCAGCCAGTTAGTTTCTCTCTTTGTCCACGCACGCACATACATATTTATAGCTTGCTGTCCAAGCTTGGCATATTACAAGCATTTCCTCAAAACCTGAAGAACTTCTCCCCAATAAAATCTTTAATGATGGCACGTGACTGAGTCATACCTTAGGTTCCTACGGCGTATAATACTGTAAATCCTAAGCAATGCTGCAGAGCGTGATTTCCCAGAAAATCAAGAGATGTGAAGTCCGGTGAGAACCCACTCCCTGCCGTAAGTTGAACGTCCGGGTTTGTTGTACCTTGACCAGCGAGCCGGCGGCAATGTTCCAGTCACGCTTCTTGCTCTCTTGCAGTCCCCGGCGGTACTTCCTCCTGTCCTCTCAGATGGCTATCCACCCCGAGTACAGAGAAGACCTGGACGCCCTGCAGGCCAGACACGGGGAGTCGGTGTTAGTGCTGGATAAATGCACCAACCTCTCAGAGGGTGTCCTGTGGGTGCGTAAGCGCTGCCGCGAGCACCAGGTCTATGATTACCCCCAGGTGCTGCAGGTGAGTGTCTGCCCTTAGCCGCCAGGCTCGGGAGAGGTCCCTTCCTCGAAGTAGCACGCACCCCAGCAAAAGGCCTTATTTCCCACACGCAGCCAGGGAATTACCCAAGGGGAGAAGAGAACGTAGTCCTGCTCTTTACCAGCCACGCGGGCCCTCAGGTGCGTCGGCGTCTGGCGTCTGCTGTTTGTGCAGAGCTGCTTGGCCTCTGAGTACTCCTGCCCCTTTCAGACATCCGTTACCCTCCAGAATCGCAACTGCGATGGGTTTGCGGAGAAGTCACATGGACAGTGGGCAAACGTGTTTTACTTTTCCCCCTGTATTCCTAAGCCCGTGCAGAGACATCTCCTCTTTAAGGTGGCAGCTTGGAGCCTCTGACATGCGGGCCCACGAGGCCGCAGTCAACTTTTGCTGGGAATGGAAAGTTTTCGTTTTTTGTTACTGTTTTGTCTGTTGGTGTTTTGCCACCCTCGGCATGTCCTACTGGTAGTATGTCCTTCGCCTGAGTCATGGGCATGGCAGTATTTCCATACTTGAGGGTAAGAGTAGTCCTTTGGGGGATATTTTAAGCATAAGCAGGATGCTTGGCATTCCAAGGGCATGGGGGCTAGGAAAGGAGAAAGTGAGTTTTGTTCCCTGAAATATTTAAAATAGTTCAAGGAGAAATAGCAAGGAGCTGGTGTGATTCTTTTTTTTTTTTTTTTAAATCTCCAAAGAGAACTGGCCCATGCTGAGATTGTTAAAATACTTTCTCTCCGAGAAAGTGCTGCGTGGTCTCTGGAATGTCTGACTGATAACAGTGGTGATGTGAGCAGGAGTATTTATAGTAACCTTTGTCTAGACAGGAAAAATGGTTATCAGCACGTGTGTCCACATCTGGATGCTGACTCTTCAGGGCAGGCTGAGCTGTCCACCTGCACCTCTAGGCGCCATGACTGATTCTCTTCTTCAGCCCTTGCTGCTTTCTCATGTATCCCTGGAGGAGTTTGGCATATTGAGTTTCTTTACATTTTTTTCCTGAACTTTCCTTTTCTCTAGCTGTAAAGATGAAACAGTGGGTTTTGGGGTTTTTTTTTAATCTTTTTTTTTTTTTTTTCCTCCTGAAGAGGCAAAAACTGGGAAAAACCGAGTGTTAGAGGGTCGTTTCTTATTTTTGCTTACCTGTCACAACTGCTTGTTCTCCTGTACGTCTCTCATTTTCTGAAACGTTCCCCACATTGACTAGGCTTGAGGGAGGGAAGGGAGAAGAAACTTGCTTTCTGTTTGATTTATTGTTCTAAGAAGAACATATCTGCGTGTTTTCAAAGGCACTGCATACGTGAAATGAATATCTTCTATGTACAGAGCACACTGCTCGATGCCATGAGGAGTAGAAAGATGAGAGTTGATAGCTTCCCTCTAGGGGGTCCTCTAGAAAGCCTGAAATGCCCAGACAAGTAATTCTGCTGTGAGGTAGGCTGAGGTAAGCGCCGTAAGTGATGCTCAGCCCCCGTGCCTCGGTGTGCGCGCGTAGTGTGGGGCTGGAAGGAACCCGGCTGTGGGAGGTCACATCACTGAGGGCCCAGAGAAGACTTGGACGTTGGCTCTGGACATTTCAGATGCCACCAGTAGCGGCATCGAGGTGACACTGAAGAGTGGAAGTACCAAGCGTTACAGCCAGTTGAGCTTTTCAAGTTCCCCTGGTGTGAGCTTTATCTGTTTGCGTTTTCGGTCAGGGTGTCTCAGTAGTGCTTGGCTTCAGCCCTCAGGAGAACGTGATGGTCTGCAGCGACCAGAGAGTGGGTCAGCGAGACCGGTTTGTGATCCCCTGCCTCTGCTTGTGTTCCCTCAGGAGGCCACGTTCTGTGTGGTCCTTCGTGGTGCTCGGCTGGGCCAGGCGGTACTGAGTGACGTTTTACGCGCCAGCTGTGTCCCAGTTGTCATTGCAGACTCCTATATTTTGCCTTTCTCTGAAGTTCTGGACTGGAAGAGGTGAGTGTTATCTTGTAATAAACTTCACACCAGTGGTTCTGTGTGCATTAGATTTTGAAAGCCCCCTCAGTAATTGTAATGCCTACCTAGGTTTGAGAACTACTCCTGTAGATTGTTTTGCTGTATTTTCCATCAGAAGAGTTAGTCTGTTGGCCTAGAGCAGAGGTTCACAAACTGAGGCCTTTGGGCCAAATATGGGAAGCTGCCAGGTTTTGTAAATAAAGTTTTATTGAAACACAGCCATACCTATTCACTCACGTATTATCCCCTGGCTGTGTCTATGCTGCCGTGGCGGAGCTGAGTAGTTGTGACAGAGATGATATGGCCCACAAAGCCTGAAATACGTACTGTCTGGGCTTTTACCAAAGACGAGAGCAGTGGTTCTCCCTTGTAACTGCAGAGTATAGTCACCAGAAGGACTTTAAGGAATGCTGCACTTCAGAGCTCCGTGGGTGTGATCTGCAGCCACAGTGGTGAAGTGCTAGAGACTCTGCAGAGTTTGCATGATGTTACTAGCTGGAGGGGGAGTGCCGCCGCATGCGTGAAAGCTTAGAGACATTCCCAGGGCACAGAAGGGCAAACATGGGTCCCGCTTGGTTATGGCTGTAATGGACAGAAGAGCCCTCTGGTCTCATGTTGTTTCATTTCCCCAGGACTTTGGCGGTTAAAGATTATTGAAAATTAGCTCCCTTTGTGTATACCTCTCAAGCTTGACTCCGCCTCAGATACTTAATTACTTTCTCCTCTCCCACCTGTTCTGATATTTCTGTTCGTGTCTGATCACCATAGGTATTTGAACAATGCAAGTAACATTCATTCTTCTGTACACTGATTCATCTCATAGTTATTGGAAAGTCTCCTGTGAATAATGCAGTCTCTGCTCTTAAGGAGGCTGGGATCTAGTGGGGAACAAACCAAGCGTTCTAATAACGTGTGATAAGTGCCTTGTAGATGCCTGCACAGGGGGCAGTGGAAGCCCAGCACAGAGGGGTAGCCTCATTCAGCCTGCAAGACGAGGCTGTGTAATTCTTTTTATCTTAGAGAAGTGCTGAGCCACCTCCAGTCATTTAAGCATCCGTGGAGACATTTGTTGAGGCCCTTTATTTGCGAGGTACTGTGTTAGGTATGGGGATACAAAGATGATCGGTCAAACCTTGCCTCCAGGAAGCCACTAGCCTACTGGTGGAGGATAGACAGGTGAACCAGCAGTGACCGACTACTGCGATGAGATGCAGCCGGGCTGGGTGGGATGGTAGGAGAAGCGCGAGGAGGAGGCGCACACCTCTGCCGGCAGTGGAGTTGGTGAGGGCTTCGTGGAGGCAGTGACCCTGAGCCACGGCTGGAAAGATACTCCTGTGAGAATCCAGACCAGCTTGGGTAGTTGTCATTATGGGTAAGTGGTGGAAGGGCTCTGGATTTGGAGCCAGAAGGCCCGGGTTCAGGTAACCAGCTCTGTCACTGGCTAGCTTTGTGATCTTGCCAAATCGTTTCTTTTCTTTCTTTCTTTGAGCCTCAGTTTTCCCATCTGTACAGTAGAAATTGTGCACTTATTTAGCAAATATTTACTAAGTGCCAACTATGTGTGCTAGACAATGTACCAGGTGCTCAGGGGCTGCTGGGGAGTGGAACCAGGCGTGGTTGCCGTCCTAACAGACTAGTCTTGCTGGGGAGCGGGTTTCAGATTTTCATAAGTTAATTGGTACAAATAAAATGGGAAACCCTGCTAAATGCCCTGACGGGTGGGTGGTTGCTGAGCCCTCTGTCTCCCTCACCCATGTGTCTGACCTGCGGGCAAGTCCTCACCACTTTCCCCGGCTCTTCCACTGTATTTTGCGACCGTCTCCAGCCGTTCTGCTCCTGCTTTCTGCAGTTTCTTCCAGCACTTTAGGCAGAATGACCCCGTTGGAACTTAATCAGATCATGCCAGCTCTGCCTAAAACCTTCTAATGGCTTTCTGTCTCAGTTAAAGCTGAGTCCTTACCACAGCCTGCAAGGCCCCCCCCCGTGCGCTTGCTGTTCGCCCCCCTCCCCTGTTTACCTCCTGGTTTTCTCCATCTTCTTTACTCCAGCCTCGCCGGCCTCCGTGCTGTTGCCAGAACATTCCCAGCATGCTGCTTCCTCAGGGCCTTCTGCCTAGAATGCTCTCCCGCAGGTGTTCCCGTGGTGCTCAGCCCCAGCCCTTGTCTGATTCGGTCGCTGTCGTAATCCCAGCACCTGGCACGTGATAGCGGCTCCGTAAATACGTGCTGAGTGAGTGAATGGCTTTGAGTAGGGAGCTAAATGAGGAAAGTCCTTGTTCGTTCAGAGCAGGCAGTGAAGTTAAAGAGTATACCAGGGAGCAGGAAGTTCACACCCACAGGCCCCGTGGTGGGCAGAGCATGGTTTGCTGGAGCACACGGGTGGCATGGAGGGAGGTGAGGAAACGCAGCAGGCCAGAGAACGAAGGCCTTTGAGAAGGCGGGCCCTGAGGAGAGGATGGGGAGCCACTCGCCGGAGGGAATGCGGGCTGAAGGAGGGTGCGGGTGTGTTGTTTCTGCTCGGGAGAACGCAGCGGGACAGGTCTGTGAAGGTGCTTTGTGTAGAGCGTTGGGTGTATAGAAACTGTTTTGGTGTCTTCTCTAGAGCATCTGTGGTTGTCCCGGAAGAAAAGATATCTGATGTGTACGGTATTTTGCAGAGCATCCCCCAAAGGCAGATTGAAGAAATGCAGCGGCAGGTAAGAGGCCAGGCAGGCCTGCTTGGGGGGGTGGGGGTGACACGGGTGGTACGGAAGGGTGGCCTGCACGGTGGGGATACACATCGACAGAGCTGACTGAGTGAGCGGGGCGATTTCCTCCGCTAGATCGACTCACCAAACCGGAGAGAGGAAAGCGGACTCAGGTGAGTCGCATCAGATAAGGTTTGAGATAGTAACTATCAGAGGTTTAAAAACTCTCCTGAGGTAAGCCTCTTTTTATGTTTTAGGGTCATAGCGTAGCAGTGTGTTCAGGATGCAGAGCCTTTCTGGATGGCTGTTCTCACAGCGGGTGATAGTTGTCGTGACTAAGGCAGCTCAGGAAGTAGGGACATTTCAGGGTGATGCTTCTGAGTAGCTGTTGACCAGGAGAATGTTGTCATATCAGCAGGCCTAGGTTCCCGGTTCCAGCGGCCTCCCTCACGAGCGGTGCTCCCTGTCCCCTGGAGCAGGTGCTGCACCCCGCCTCACTGTCCGGTGTCTCTTCCACCGTCTGATACCCCTTCCCCTGGGCTGCTCTCCACGGTCTGCAGCATGCCACTCGGGGCCACGGATAGTCCTGCTTCTCTTTCTTTTCTCTTGCCAGAGAGAAATTTAGGTGGGCGGAAATGTTAATAAGCAAGCTAAAAAAAAAAAATTAAAAAAACTACCCCAAATTGGTACTATGCTTGTTGTTTCTTTTCTTTTTAGTAGATTCTTAAGGTTTTTATTTTTGTCAAAATTATCATTGTAGGAGATGAGCAGGAGAGAGGTTGGAGGGGTCTCAGCATTAAGTCCCTCATCTTTGCCCCCACTTGGGGTTCCGCAGCGGACGACCTTGGGTTTTTCTCAGCTGATTTTCCTCAGCGGCTGCTTGGGCCCGGAGAGTCAGCCACCACGTCTCGTTCTGCTTTTCAGCTTCCCCATTTTGTTGCTTCAGCTCGTCTCCCATCTTCTTGATCTTAGTGACGATGCCTTCATTTTTTTTATTTTTTATTTTTTATTTTATTTATTTATTTGACAGAGAGA